GGATGATTTTTGAAAGAAGCGTGACAAGCTTGGTAGTTGAACATCGTTTATTTTTATATGACGGATTTCTTAGCACATATTTTCTTAACCGGTCAAACAAAAGGTACGCTGAACGCGCACCACAATTTTATACATGAAGTTTACATTTTATATAAGGGAGGATAGCTAGCAGAGGCTAAGCAAACGTTTCCAATAGGAAGATGAAGTAGTAAAAAAGGATACGTAGTTAGATGCGGCACTATTTATAAGACTTTTATAAGTCTTTGTTAATCCTGTACAGCGAATCCTGAGCAGATTTTGCATTGGGGTTAATGCAGGAAAAGCGTGATGTAACATGGTGAAATATGGAGCCTCGAAGATAGGGTGTATACAATTAAATTTAAAAATTCAAAGGACCGTTTCAATTAAGTTCAATTTGGTAATAAATTTTTCTTCATGTTTTTATATCTTATACTTTATGTGTGTGCTGCTATAATTCCCGCGTATTCCCCCTTGCATTTCAGTGCCAGGTTCTAAAATTTTATCTCTTAATTTTTCCCTTTCTTTAATGCGTTTAGAGAACGAGCCCTGCCCAAAACCGAAAATGGATTCATCCGCCTAGTGATTGTTTTCATTTTACTAACAAAGACAAACCCTCTCGAACTTTCTACGAATGTCATTAGAATGCAATTGTACCTCTTCAACTTTATGCTAGCTTAATACGGCGAAACAAACATGAACTGACATTCTGTCTAGGGTTTCTCGGTGTAGCACAGATAACAATAAGAACGGGAGAGTTTCAAATTACAACAGAATGGAAATGAAGATATTTTAATGTTAATATTACTATGTATTCTGATTGGAATGTAGATTTCTTTTAAATAAATAATATTGAGATTGTTACCTGTAGACTACTTTGTATTTTTTGTGATCTTACTGCAATGGCTTCCTTTAGGAATTAAATTACTAGAATAATTTACCCTCTCGATTTTCGGACGATAAAATTAAAGAAAGAGGATATAACAATAAATGAAGCAATGCAAGCAATAAATTAGAAACAATCGAAAGCTAAACCATGCACCGAAAGCTACTGTTCTTTAACTGTTATATAAAATACATAATGAAATCGTAAATTTGAATTCATATTCCATCAAAACAGAAAAATAGGGTTGCGTTCTCTTCATTCGTGTTTTCTACTTCCTTGCTTAAATTGAATATGAATTAAAAATTACAGTTTATTCATTTTTATATATACATGTAATAATAAAATGCCATAGTCAAGAATACACTTAAAATTCTAACTGTATGTTCTTTTCATTTTTTAATGGCGACGGTCTCTTATTTGAAAGTACGTGGAATTAAATCCACAGCCCCATAGTCAAGTTGTTTTTTCTCGCCTTTTTCTACACGTACAGTTATAGAATGTTCTGGAGATATTTACAGGGAACTGGAATGGCTGACGAGGCTGATGTCATTTCTTGGAAGCTCCGCCTTTCCAGAGGCTATAAAAGGACTCGCAAAGGAATATCGGGGTCTTTTCTTTAATGTAACGATGCAGTAAACTTCATACAAAAAGTTATTAGTAATTCTTTTTTATTTACTCCGGAGATATGATTTTTTGTAACCGCTATTTCTCCTGACCAATTAATAAATGGATCCTGTTTTTTAAACTTATCGTCTGATAATTTAACTTACGACTACATCTATGATTCTTCACCAATCTATTTATTCCGGTCAAAAGCTGGTACATCACATACATATATGCAAATTTTGTGATAAAAAAGTAACAAATAAATAAAATTCAATTATTCAAAAATATAGGTGACTTTTACACAGTTTTTTTTAAATAACGAAAAGTTTTATTTCTAAAATAGTTACATTTTCACCAATAAGTTGCGCTAGAGCGAACCTGACGAAGTGGCATTTTATATGGGATTGTGTGATGATTCCTGAGGATTAGGATCATCCTCATTATCAATTTTCCTTACAAAATCTAGCATAGCAAGAACTGAAACCAACTGATTTCGAGAGACGTCGTGAATTTGCAAATTGGCCTTTCTTACTGATGGGAAACAATGCGGAATGGCACTGTCTGTATATCCGTTTCGCTTAATAAAAGTGTAAATGCATACAGCTACGGCATCTAGGTGACAGAGAACCCAAACGCGCTTGTGGGAACGCCTTTGCTTCAGCTGAAAATGACAGCCAAAAATGACAACCAGCGTGACACTCAAAGCACAGCAAAGATGGCAGAAATCATTGAGGTATTCATTACAGGCTTCTTTTCCTTCAGCAGGTCCACAAGTATGCATTTCAAACTCTTTCTATGAGAGTCGAACGTTATGCGGCGCTTTTGAGACAATATCATTCCCATTTTGCAAGGGATGTAAGTTCTCGGAGGTTACACTCAGGGTGGTGCGCCTCAGCGTAGAACTTGCCCCCGTACTTATTGCGATCAACATTTGACAATGACTGTGTCCTTACTTGCTCTGTCACACATGAATGACCACCACTGTCTCCAGATCTTAGTTTTGTTTACGGGCTACGTGAAATTACAGTTACACAGAATCCAGTCGATGTTGTTAGCGATACTGAAAGAAGTTATACGTAATCATGTGGGAGGAATTACATGTGAACCCTTTTCGATGCTGTGCAGTGTGTCGTGTCACAGCTGACGGCCATTTCCCTGAATGAATGCCGTTAAAACTAGCATTTGTAATCCTAGATGCGTTGTGAACCATTTGGCTCCACTGTACGAGCTTCTAATGCAAGTGAAACCCCGCCTATCACTGAGAAATATAACTGTTCTGACAATGAATTCTTTCAATATTAAAATACAGTCCTACATTTTCTGAGTATTTTTGTGAAAACAACATCGTGCTATTTTCTACACTTTTCGAATACTTGAACTGTTATATTTTGTTATCTGTGATCACCCGCTATATTTATACCGAATATGTATATATGTATGAAAGTATATGCTTAGTGACTGTTTCGTGACGTCACTTTACTCACAGAAGTCGGCAAAAGCGGGACTTCGACTTCACTCCACGGGTTGACGTTGATCGAGAATAGTAAATCTTATAGTACGTGATTTTTATAGTAACTGTCCACGTTTCATGGTATTCATTATTATATGTTAGGTTTATATACTTAATAATCTTATAGTACGTGATTTTTATAGTAACTGTCCAAGTTTCATGGTATTCATTATTATATGTTAGGTTTATAAGGTATTCCTCCCGCCTTCGTGGTGTAGTGGTTCTGCACGCTGGGTTGGTATTCCAGAGGTCCGTGGTTCGCTTCCCGGCGAAGACCTTTGCTCATTTTTCATCTTGTCTGCTTCCAAAACATACCTAATGTCTCTACAGTGGCGCCCGAACTAAAAAAAAGTGTATTGGATGATGATTCTCCTCACCCAGGATTTGGCGATTGGGTTCCCTAAGAAACCCCAATCACCCTTTAAAAGGCGGAGTATATAAAGTATTTCTCCCGCCTTCCTAGCATGCCTTCGTGGTGTAGTGGTTCTGCACGCTGGGCCGGTATTCCAGAAGTCCGGTTCGATTCCCGGCGAAGGCGTTTGCTCATTTTTCATCTTGCCTGCTTCCAAAAATGCCTAATGTCTCTATGTCTCTATAGGTTTACGAGTTTGATTGGAATAAACTTTAGTTATTATTTATATACCTTTTTAAAATTCTTTATTCTTGTGCTTGCAGTAACTCATTCTCACACTTTTATAGCCTAAATTAGCTACTTATATGAAAATCCTGCTGATGTAAAGAATTTAAGCAAAAGAGCTACAACTTTATTGCTTGTAAACAAAGTCCGTGCTTTAATGGCTGCAGTAGGGGCGATGTTGAAGTACTTGTTCTAAAAAAAAAACTTTACAGGAAACTGAACTAAAATACGCTTTTATTTCGGTTAGGGTATACGAATTTACACAAGGAGCAGCGTATTAGAGAAATATTGCATTTCTACAGGTACTCTTTTGACTTGTCTCATCACTCCAATATATGGACTGAAATTATGTGACATCAACAATCAAGACTTAATATAGTACCCTTTTGAACCTAGAAGGTTAAAAAAAATGAAAGAAAAGCAACTGTTACTCAGTTATTGTTAGACATAAAAATTTGCATAAATCACTAGTCTGCGCGAGTAACATAACGGATCAAGGTATATAGGAAAGAAATTGATAAAGTTAGCCGTTAAATGAGTTAAATTATAAATGTTAAAGTGTGATCAGGTGAACTTCTCATGAGCTTGTTGAAAATAACACTAAGTCATCATTATTATTACTACCGTAACAGCACTATTACGCAGTATTTAAATACGCAACAATTAACGTGGTCTCTGTCAACCGAGGTTTTCTGTTAAAGTTCTGTATAGCGGTCCATTAATTTAAAGCAGCGTTGGGGAAATGTTGCTTTGGAAAAGATAGCAAAAATGGGTAACATTCGAAAATTCTCTCATCAGGGGGTGACTGATCTTTTGGCTTTTATTATCAACTGTGGGTCTTTAAACGGCCTTTTTATTGTGCCAAATGGAATTATAAGGATAAAAGAAATGTCATAATAAAGTAAGAATCAAATCTCCCTTTTGTAGTAACAGTTTTGTTATCTTTTCGATAATATAAGTTATTCTGATAAGGTTTAGGTTTACATTATTATATCCTGTTATTTCAGCAAAATATTATAAAGAACATATGTGCGTATTATCAATCTTCCTTCTATGAAGAATTAAAAATAAGGTGATTAATTCTACAGGTTTTGAGCCTGATATTTTTGAATAAAAACGCTTTTAATTAATTGTTTAACTACTCTGAGTATCACCAACAGTTTTACATACACAAGTTATAATTAAAATTTCTTTGCAAATTGTAACAGTTTTCAAGCTCTCTTTCTCACGGCTCCAATATTTTTCGAAATTGCAATTCGATGTTTTGATACAATAATTTAATTCCAAATAAACTTATTCTGAGTGTAAAAGCGGCTTTTATTTCTAAAGACATTCTATTTTAGGCTAAAGCTCACCATGTAACTCATTTGCCTCCAAGAAGGACGAAAGAAGGTTTGCAATGGATTCAGCTACGCTTAGTGTTCGTCATGTCAGGTTCTTACATTCGCAGAGGTGGTCTTCGATTACAATGCTTAGCTGAAGTGTATTTGACGTACGCAAGATCTCATTATGAATTAGTAATAGGAGAAAGGTTATCCGGACCAGGTCCTCAGAATGGTAAGGAAGTGTACTTTTTTACCCGTGTTGTGGTTTTTCCTCAGCACATTCTCTTTACCGATACAGTTATATAAATCTGGTTTTATTTTAGTAACATCTATGATGCAAATTTCTTCGTTGCTTCGTTGCAATTTACAGGGCGTAAGATCTGCTATTTATATCTTCGATATTATACACGTGAGACATCAGCATAAGATGTTAAATTATTTGAAAATTAATTTTACCTGAACTTGTTAATAATATTTTACATTTTTACATCAGTGTTGTATTACATCATAACTGATGCCCAAAATATTTTTATTGGCCTTTAATACACTGATATTAAAATTTGCAGCCCTTCTTCCTGCCTGTTGTATAGTCTAGATCCAAAATAAAATCAAAAGGGTATGAGGAAACTTTCAGTAATGTGCAGATTGCAAACTTCTCAACACATATTTCTTTTTTTCTTTAAATTTTAAGTCAAACGGTAATTTACTTTTTAAAATTTTTTATTTATGCCATTTTATATTTAAAAAAAAGGAAATTCAGAAATAAGTGCCGGAACCTTTAAAATTGGAATTCTTTTTGCGCTAAGTTTTAATTGGATTCAAAAGTAAAATTAAGGTAATAATAAATACTGTTTTATTTTAAGAAAAATATTTATATTATTTACACACTTTAATTTTTAACATTTTTTGTTATTTTTTTAATTTTTAAAAATAATGGTAAATGTTTTTGAGCTTATAAAAGGTAATATGGTGTTTGCAGTTGCAAATTTTCTTGTCACTAATTTGAAATCCATATTCACTCACTATATAAGTGATGAAAAGTGAATAAAAGAAACAGAACTATTTAAAAAGCTACTATAGATTGAAATAAGTCTTTTTCATCAATAATTTAATATTCTTCAATTAAATCAATTAAAAATCGTTGTTCTACGGGATCGGGTCAGCATTTGCTCACTGAAATGAATCGGTTCTTTTTTTTATGATTAACTGCTCACTAACATTAACCTTTATGAAAAACATTGGGAAAAAGGTTAAATCAAGAGCGGTTAGCGAGGATGAAGCGAAAAGCCAAGAGAATCGAACGAGCAGTGGGATCGGGACCGGTTAGCGAGATTGGAGCAAAGATCGAAAAGAATCGGACGAACAATGGAATCAGAAGAATCAACTTAATCAAAAGCTAACTTCCTAAGCTGAGTTCTTTCAGTTTTAGTTGTTTTGAGATTCTACGTAGCATTAAAAGTAAAAAAAAAATAGTCCAGAATAAAATTTTTTCACAAAGTTGTGAAATATAAAAATTAAACTCACTTTTAACATGGGGAAAATTAAATATTCTTTTCTCCCTTAAAATAGGAATCGAATTTTCCTGGCAGGCTTTCAACATGAACTCCGCTCTTTTTTCGCGAATCAGACGTACAGTCACTCAGTAAAAAGAATGAGCTCGTGAACGAATAGCAGAATCTCTATTCCTATCAGGCTACCAACAAGAGCTCTCCGTGAACTGTAAAGAAGTTACCACTCCGTCTTCTAGAATAGAGTAAATTCGCTCGTTTAAGTGAATTGGTTCTTTGAATCAGTTCCGGAACGAATCGTCTAACTCTATTCAGTATGTCATCGGCAGAAGACAAAATTTTAAATTAATCCTATCAAACGTCAGTTACAAATTGAATAGCTCATTGTATAAGCAGAAACTTTACATTAAACATCCTCTATATTGCATAAATTTAATTAACTCTGCGGGCAGAAATTATAGACTTTCGAAAATTAAAAACCTACTTTTAAGCATGTTAGTGAAATTGAGAAGTTAAAGATCGTCAAAATGGAACAGAAATACTTCAATGTAAAATTTAAAATTAGGCAAAACAGCAACCTTTGTTCAAAATATGGTTGCTGTTCTCCTTGATTTTAAATTAAAGGACGTAATTAATTGATCTATGCCAACCACTCAATCACTTCAACCAGCAAAAATCAACAATCAGTTATATGAACTGTGTTCTTATCATATTTTGTGAGTTATATGCACTCGAGTACTAATCTGTGTATGTCATCACTTCGCTGGAAATTGAAATCGAATGAAAACTTCTAAGCAAACAATAAAAAACCATGCACACTAGCAAAGAGACAGAACTATAATAATCAATACGATAGCATAAACAATTAGCCATAACATTTATTGATTCTGGCACATTTAAAATTTGTCACAGCAGCGACAAGTAGTCATTCCTGAAGGAATTTCTGTTTACTTTCCTGTTTCGTTATCAGCCATGTACATTTATTTCTCAAATATCCAACACCGAAAAATTGTTTTAAATTAAATTATAGATTCGTTAATCATTATTAAATTAGAGTTTTTAGGAGTGCAAAGGAAATTCAAAGAAAAAATAACACCGCAAAAAAAAATTTAAGCACATATGAGGGGTAAAAATAAATTAAGATTTGCAATCCTTTTTCGTATTCCTTTTCTGCCAATTTTTTCTTACAAACTTTAAACAAATGGTTAGGGAATAAATATTTTATTTTATACTCTTTTAAGTTATTCTAACCAAAATTTAGTGACCAAATTTTATTCCTTTTGTATTTGTACGCATGAGGAGTAATAATTTTACCGTGTCTCGAATTTCACGATTACTTTGTCAAATTTAACCCTCTAAGCGTCAAGGCCGTGTATATACGGCCTAGAATATTTTGTGTGATATCTGTAAAAACGTATATATACCTAGACCTTAATATATGTCAAAGAAATTAAGGCAATATATCAAAAGTACACAAATCCAGGTATGAAATACCAGCAGAGGTTTTACCTTAAAATCAAACCAATTATTTGTTATAGTAGTTTTGGGAAATTTGTGCTTGGCTCTGGCCGCTCAGAGGGTTTTAAAGGATTTTCAGACGTTTCACAAATATCACAGAAATCCATGAATTTCAGATTTATTCTGTTTCTTAATTTATAATATAACTGTTGAATTATTTTTCAAGTGAATGTAATTTTATGCTAGGCAAACTGCCTTTTTAAAATTTTAAATTTTGCTACGTGACAACACATACTACATTAATAATGAAAATGTTTTATCATATGTATTAAAACAGTGTCTCTATAAATGAAAATATTGCTCTTACTTGATTATATGATAGCATTATGAATTTGACTGTATAGACTATATATATATATATATATATATATATACATATGTGTGTGTGTGTAATGCTTATTTAATTACTAATTCTTCTGCTTCTTATCTAACACACACAATTTGGGAAACGGTAGTATAAATACTCGGATTTAAATTTAATTACCGCACTGGATTAAATCTTTTTCGAGCCTGACAAAGAGGTGCTATTCCAATTGCTTTCAATTCTATGAAAAGTTGGTACAAAATTTATTACTTATTTGCTTAGGCATGATATTCTGTTCATTAACTTTAGAAACGAGGACGAAACACCGATTTAGGCTGTTGTCCGAGATCTTTCGCAGAAACTACAGACAAAGAAATTTTGCATGAAATTTGTATCTTTAAGTTCCCGGTATAAAAGTTGATAATTATTAACTATGAGAACTATGAGAAATTGTCAGCATTTTCATTAGAGTTGCAAAAAACGCAAGAACTAAAGTAAATTTCCATCAGAAACACTTCTGCAGCTAATTATGTGGATCAACTCCTTCATAGAAAAAAGGAAACTTTTATCCTGTATTATAGTTTTCGGTGTTCGACTCGGCCATTTAGGAGTTTTTATCAAATCATGCTATTTAAACTGCGCGAGATATCATCTGGCATATGCATGCCCGATTCTTCTGAGGAAATGGAAGGCCAAATCCATAAATTGCCTTGATTCACATAAGAGCAATTATTAAGTTTAAATTGCCTTGATTCACATAAGAGCAATTATTAAGTTTACCCAAAATTTCCGAAGATGTAACATTAACTTAACAAAAAGGGAAGTCCAGTTTTCAGTTATTTTTGTGGTGCACCATTTTTTTGCATTAAATACATACATTATGTTTGATATAAAATTGTCGGCTGTTGTTACACATTTTAATGTAAGAATTTCCTGTCACACTGAAGTTAGAATTAAAATAATAAATAAAAGAAGATGATTTTGAAAATATACTTTTCCGTTCTAATCTTTTCTTTTAAAATGCATTTTTAATTTTTGTTCTACATCGATTCATCAATTCTTTGCCGTGAAGTCGTGCATCGCCTTAACATCGTAGCGTGGGTAGATGTAACGGGTGGCCATAATTAAACTGACAGTGCTCACAGTGTTCTGTAGCGCGATCTATATTTGCGAGAATGACGCCACATTTTGTAGGAAGATTAAACAAGACGGGGGACGAAGGATTCCGCGAAAAAACAAATTAGTTCCAAAAGTCACCGCTAGAGGAATATTTGGCGCTGTGTTATAGAAAATAGAGTGTTAACAAATGCAAATCAATACGGAAATTACCTTTCATTTTGCATTCAAATGAGGTTCAATGTGGCTGCCGTTGTTGTGGACCACATATTGCATTTTGTGCACAGTACGCACAACAGCAGAAAGTAACATGTCTGCAGGAATCTCCACTAGAGTCCGTGATATGTTATCCTTCAACGTAGCCAGGTCCTGGATCACTCCTTGATAGACTTTGGACTTAAGGTAACCCCATAGCCAGAAGTCGCATGGGGTAAGATCAGGCCACGCAGTTGGAAAGTAGCGGCTAATGACTCTTTCTGTTGTGAATTTCTGTCGTAGCATCTGTTGCACCCGTACAGCAACGTGTGAAGGGGCTCCATCTTGCATGAAAATGATTTCCCCCAGGCATTGTCTTTGTTGAAGTGCCGGAATGACAAAGCTGTTCAACATGTGGGGATATTTCTCTCCGGTAACAGAACAGTTTTCCGGTCCTGTCGAGGTAATGTTCTCATAGAAGAATAGACCTACTATAAATTCCGCTGTGAACCCACACCAAACAGTTACCTTTGGTGAATGTAAGGGAATTGCTGTGACTGCATGTGGTGGTTTGTCATCCCAAATTCGGCAGTTTTGGGTACTCACGGTTCCATTCAGGTAAAAGTGGACCTCGTCTCTCCATAAGATTTTCTACGGCCAAGCATCATCCACCTCCATTCTGGCAAGAAAGGTGAAAGCAAAAGTCAATTGCTTATCATGGTCGGGGTACAGTAACTCCTGTACACGACCGATCTTGTACGGATAGAGTTAATAATCTTTCGTAAGATTTTCCATACCGTACTGTAAGGCATATCCATATTCCGAGCTACTCCACGAGCGCTAGAGGTGGCAGCACTATTGTCTGGTCCACTGTCGACAATTGCCGTGGCAACTGCTTCGATTGTATTCTGTGGGTACAGGTTTTCGTCCTCTGCCTGACTGCAACCTTCAGAGAACTTGTTTTCTCAAATGTCGCAACCATAGCTTTCAGCCCATTAACTGACACAGGACCATTACATTTATGCATTTTTTTTTTTTTTTGTTTGTGCTTTCTAAAAGCACGAAGAGCGGCTGACGCGTTGCACTGGTTGAGGTAACAGAATTTAAAGAATTTGACCAGTAACGCACGCTCGACTAAAGAAGGAGACATTGCACATAAACTTTCTTTCCGATTGATTCGAAACGTAACACATTGCCTTTTTTAAAACCCAAGCAGCTGGCACTGTGCGAATGGATATAACGTGAAATTTGAATAAAGAACTTCTTCTTCTGCTCAACCATACGTGATCATTGCAGATCACGGAGACTTTATCGATGTTTATGTAGATTTTAAGCGCTATTTTTTTAAAGTGTTGCCATATTGCACTTGAACTAAATCAGAAAAGTTGCATAATGAAATGGTAATTTTATTCCGTATTAATCTGCATTTGTTAACGCTCTATTTTCTATTACACAGCGCCAAATATTCCACCTAGCGGTGACTTTTGGAACTTAATTTGTTTTTTCCGCGGAATTGTTCGTCCCCGTCTTGTTTAATCTTCCTACAAAATGTGGCGTCATTCTCGCAAATAGATCGCGCCACAGAACACTGTGAGCACTGTGAGTTTAATTATGGCCACCCGGTACTTTTCTGCTTTTCGGTATACAAAAATGATGTTTGGATAGTATATGCTAGATAGTTTTGAAGGCATTTTATGTGCAGTTGGGATAGTACTATAGAAAACCTTATGAATTTTCAGAAAAAATTCGCAAATCACTTACAGAGTGATCTCAGATAATCGGAATTCTACTGAATTTAGAAAATTAAAAAATACATACATATATATATATATATATATATAGACTTCTAATAAAAGTTTTATATTTCTTTAGCTTTTTGTAAAAGAATAAATTTTACTTAACTAGTAAACAATTAATATTAACTAACTGAATAGTGCTATTGATGTGTTACTAAGTTTCACTATTTACAAAAATATGTATGTATTTTAGCCCCTAACGTAATACCAAGTCGAAGAAGGCCGCGGGTCAGTGGAAGTTCTGGCCGTTATGACGTTGGTGATTTGGTGGACATCAACTGTACATCAGCAAAAGAGAGCACACCTCCAATTCTTAGATGGTTTATAAATGACAGAGAGGTAATTCTTAAACAATATCTTTTTGATTCTTTTCACGAAATCTAGTTTAAAGCAAGTTTGATTTCCATCGTCAGTGAATATTCGATACGAGTACGTCAATTTGGTATGAAACTATCATAAACAATTCATAAATAGGTAAAAAATAAGCGAACAGGGCATGTTTCGAGTGCATCAAATGACGCTATCTTCAGAAGACGTAAACAAGCAAGAACACACTATTTCTTGAGCGAAACGGTAACTAACACCTGGAAAAGTATGAAGGAAAAACTATCTGTCTATGTGTTTTCCTTTCCCAGATAAAGAAATGTTTTCGTGATTTCGAAGCAGTGCCCAAAACAATTAAAGAGTTAAATATAACTAGTTTAATATTACGTAATTTCTATATCTAAACGAAAAAAACCAGTTACTCATAAATCATACTTTTTTGAAGTCACAAGAGGTTTATAATTTTCTTCTTGAAACAATCAAACGGTAATCTTCATTTTGTATTAGTAGTCACTTCTTAACCGGCAACTGATTAGAGGATATAACTGAGAATGAGATGTTAGAATAACCGTCTTGATATTTCTCGTATTTCTAATCTTATTGCGTCTTTAGAATACCATTTCCATTTGGTGCAGTTACAGAAGTGCTTTTCGCTTTTAATTCCGGTATTGTTCATACGCAACTGCTGTGTATTTCAACTGGTATGAAGGTCCATAATTCTTCATTGCTCAGCCTATCAAGTCGATAAGATTCGAAATTTAAAATACATTTAGCAATGTTTCTTAGCTAAAGCGTTTAATAAATCCACTGAACAGTACTGACGGCTTGGGAATGTTCCAGTTATGAATTGGGGCACAAATGCTGGCTGAATGAATTGGGGCACAAAGGCTGCATTTGGAGAATAAGCAATACTTGTAATTACTTTATACTAATATTATACTGACATTAGACATATTTTAACCAGAAGATTCAATGCGCACAAAATAGCATTATCCCTTGGTACTTCACACCTTAATTCATAACTTTCCGATTGTTATCTTTTAGCAGAAATGACATTTCAGTGCAGTTTTGTCAACTTAAAAAAAGAACAACAAAATCACTTATAAAAAGTGCGGTCTGATGTATGACTTCTATTAATAGATTGTGATCTTAATATTGACATGATGTTAACTTCCCACTATTCATCGGTTTCATTGATTTAATATTAAAAAGCTCGATTTCTTACATTTTATTATTTTTTTATAAAAGCATTATATTTCAAATGATACGCAGCTAAATATTTTTATGTGTTTATAATAAAAATTACGCTATTAAATGCATTCATGACTTGTTGTAATAATGCAGAGCAATACTATAAGCATTGCAGTAGAAACAATAAGGTTTTAATCCAATTCATTCATTAATTCAGTTGATTATTTAAACAAAATATTTTATTATATTTTATGAAGTAAATTTAATTAGTGAAGAGTAATTGTAAAATATTAATCAAGTAGTGTATATATATATATGTATATGACACATTTCATTATACATTACTTATTTCAAAATTTTAACCTCTAGGTAATGATGAATATATTTACACATGTACCGTATTTGACGGCATATAAGACGCACTGGCATATAAAACGCACCCTTATTTAGAAGACCACACACATGTAGATGTAGAAAAAGTTATGTGTGTCTAGACCTTTATCCGGGCTAAAAATAGCATTCAGTATTGAAAGTTAACCTGTGTCCTTCACGTATAAGACGCAGGTAACTTGTTTTGAGACCAAATTTAGGAAAAAAATGCGTCTTATAGCCGTCAAATACGATATATAAAGTAAGAATAAATTTAATAAACACTTAAAGAAAGTTTTAAATTTAAAAACTAATAACAAACAGAAGTACGTAATATACCGATTGTGTTTCAGTGCAAACCAGTCACTCCATCGCTGTTGGGATGCGTGTATTGCAGTTGGCAATCGCTCGTTTGAAAATTTCTTGTAAATATTAAATATTACATTCTTGTGAATATCTGTAATTAAACGACTTTTCGTTTTCGCAATTACCATGTTATTCGTAATTAATGATGTGTTTCTTCGTTCGCATTTCACATGCCATCATGTATTATCTAACTAAAACTGGTTTTTTTTTTGTTACATCCTATCACTCCTTAAAGTAGCAGTCCTCTTTCTTGTTACACCCTACACATACATACATACATACATATCTATCTATATATAGAGAGCTTAAAAAGAACTGAGGGCGTTACAAAGAAATAATTAAAATTAAGGTGACAATGACCTGACAGATAATGTTTTCCCAGTCATGATTAACTTGTAATTTTCTTTCATAGAAAGGTTTCAATAATTTATCGGATTTAACTTTTAATTAATTAGTCTTAGGCTTTCTTTAGGTAATTATGAACGTATAATTAGATATCCCGCTACTATTATGTAAATGAAAAGTATGATCAAATAAACAAAAAGTAACACACGAAGTAAATGACGCAGCAGAAAATAGAGATTTAAAAAAATATGCAAAATTTTATGCAACTTTTTTATTATCGCGAAATGTTACTTGACCCTGAATTTTAAATTAAACGAATGTTCTGTTTTGGGTACTGATTATATCGTTGAGATATTATTTTAATTATTTATTAGACTTAAAAAATGGACTCATCGTTTGTAAAATACCTGTTAAATTTACTCTTCGCTCCATAGTTTCCAAACAATATTACATTATTTCTGAGAATGAGTTGGCTGACCAGCTATCACATGAATTCTTCAAGGGAAAAAGACAATTTAACATCTTGTTAATACTTTGGTACTCTGAGGTTTTCTATGATATTACTTGTAACAAAATCCATTTTGTTCCTTCTCTTCTCTGCAAGAAAATCTTATTAGCATTAAAATATTTGACCTAATTATTTCTCAGTTTTAAACATACCGTTTCACAAATTGTGAAGCGGAAGAATATCAAGTTTCAGTATGACAAGAAAAACATATTAGAATTACTATGGAACATACTATGGAATTCTATTAACGTTAAATGAAATATTAGGAACTACAGCAAAGGTAAATTAGTGCGTGTGTGTGTGATTATGGCAAAGCCTCGAGGACTATCTGCCTAAGAGGAGGAATGCCTTCGTGGGAGGACTTTCTAAGGGAAACTGGCTCGTATACACGTTTACACATGGGGAAAACCACGAAAACGCCCATGCAGCCAGCCCGTTCGCGGGACTCGAACCTCGGACCGAACTACCAGTGTTCAGCGACTTTACCGCTCGGCCGCTGGTGGGCCCGGTAAATTAGTGCAGATGCTGTGAAAAGAAAACATTAAAGTGACAGTTGTATAAATGTGGCAGTTGGGTATGAAGTTCTTCTCAGACATATTAAAATGTTAACGCAGTTTTCTTCTTCATGGTGTAAATAATTCCTACCCTGCTTATTGTGTGCCTTCGTGGTGTAGTTGGACGCACGTCCGGCTGACAAACGGAAGGTTGAGAGTTCGAATCCTGGTGCCGACATCGCTGATTGTTCGTATTTCATGCATCAGCAAATCTAATGTCTCTAAAACGGTACCTACATTAAGGGTAAAAGTTGAAAGTTCGTTGCTATACTCGTTGACTTTTAAAATGCATTAAAATATGAAAAATAAATTTTAGGACGGCATAGCATTGTAAGAATTTAAAAAATTTCAATGTCCTATAGATGTATGTGTCAGCAATTAATATACCATGCACGAAAATAAGGGAGTTATTATTGAACTAGAATTAGTATTCATTCTCAGCTTCAAAAATCAATATCATCCAGATTCAAAATTGATTGCTTGGGCATCAGACAACAGGCATCTCTATAAGGGATTTGATCTATATAACAAAGTTATACGGAAAGAGACTTTAACCACAGGCGCAGTTTATTTGCTTGAAACTAGATTTACAATAATTAAAAATCTGGTTCGTTTTTAAACTTCCTTCACTTTCTTGTGCATCCTGCGGATAGGAATATCCTGGGGAGAAGCTGGCAAGTTTTCTCACGTTAATTAACAACGGTGAGCGCCGACGCCGTTTTAGTTGCGGCCACTGCCTGTTGCGAAGCATTATTGTAATGACCTATGGGACTTATTTAATAGAGTGGTTTTGCTTGTTACACCAGTGGTTACCTTCCGAGATAAAATCCCCAGAGTTTCACCACCAACGTTCAAATCCATAAAGGTATTGTTCGAAAATAAACTTTGGATTAATACGCACTTAAGCTACATAATGGAGTAGAAGTGACAAATTGCAAATCGGCTCCCGCGTTTAATCTAAAAATAAAATACTTTTTAAATTCCCTGGTGTGAGATGATTTATACTTTAGGATTCAGTTACATTTTCATCCACGCCCTCACTCTCTCCATTTCACTGTTTGTGGAAGCTGTGAAATTAACCAACACCAGAAAATTAGACTGAAGTGTCTATAATTATTATTGAATACCGACGGTGTGAAAACCTTTTACTTCCCGTGACCTCAAGGGCCTTGGGGGTTACCGCTGGCAGAGATTAAACAATTTTTTTTTTTACCGTAGGCATTATTTAGGCCGCTGTATCTGTTACTTTTAGGATGTTATGAGTTTGTTTACTTGACTGATAATCAGAAAAAATTTGAAGCCTGGAAGTTTATTTACTTTTATAACCAAACTATAACTTTGTGACAACTATCTATCTTCCCAATATATATGCTGTAATTATGCTTCACTATTCCGCTAGCTGTCTTATAATCATAAGTCTAGTTGCTATAAGGGTTCAGTTTTATCATCAAGTACCTTTGAAAGGAACAAAATATTAAGTTCTAAATTTAACTGGAGGTATAAAAATATTTATGAAAAAATAACTCTCAGAATTTTATTTTGTCTCTCAGAATATCTATTAAATAATTGTAGTGTCATATAGCACATCCTCTGGTTCGACATGTGCATACAAACTAAAGGCACAATGAATTTAAATTAAATTTAATTATATGAGAATGCTCTTCACAAAATATCATATTCCT